TAAACAAGAAGGTCTCAGGACACTCCAGTTAGTCCAGTCTGTAACTCAGTGACAAGTTCCAGAAGCAGGCAGAAAACAGTGGGCTGGCAGTGGAAGAGCAGGGACTGCAGAGGACTGACTGGATGCTTCTGCCATTCACTCAGGAAACATCTACTGAATCTGCCAGGTGCCCCCACTGTGCCCGGGGCTCAGCACACAGAGGCATATGAGACAATCTCAGCTTTTAAGACATTTATATTCTGATGAATGACTGAGTAGCAATCATGTGCCAGGGAGTATATTATGGACCATCTCATTTTAGCCTCACAAAAATACTATGAGAAAAGCAGTTACAATAATTATTACCACTTTACAGATGCGGAAGTTAAGGTTCAGAAAGATAAAACTTGCTGAAAGCCATGCTTCAACTCCAGGGCCCATTTTGTACTATGTCCCTTGAAATAGGAATGAGAAGCAAAGAGAATATTAAAAATAGGAAACACAATTTCGGTTCAGAAAGAAGACCATAATGTATCTAAGTTAAAAAGTATGAACATTTTTTCTTAGAGAAGGCAAAAATGAAAAGTTTAAAAAGTAGTAATCATAAGAAAAAATAACAAGCCTCACATTACTATGTATGAATAGAAAATGACAGAAAGAAAAAAATAAGCTTAGGATATAACCCCATGAAGTATGCTCGAGATAAAATTATATGGTTTCTATAAATTTTATTTTATGTAACCATAAGCAATCATTAGGGAAATAACATACTTAGAATTACTGTATTTTCCCATTAGTGAGGTTTTCGGGTCTCATGCATCAAACCACATTCAAAGCAAAAAGCTAAAGTTAATTATTTGGTCCTATCATCTATACTATTCAGGCCCATCTTTAGAGAGGGAAATACAAGTTTGGAGCAGATTATCTTGTGGATGAGCTTCTCAGCCTAATACTCTTACAGAGATGAAATACAGCTTAAGGATTAATAGAGGGCTCAACAAGCAAACAGGATCTAAAATATAAACAAAAAGCAAAAGCAATTAAAGATTTTGCAGAAGAGGCTGATTCGAAGTATATGCTGATGCAAACTGTACTTTACACACCAGGGGTTGCCGTGTACTATGAAACTACCCCAAGAAGGTGATTTAGGACACCGGCAAGGCCCAACTGACACATCCAATGAAGGGCAGTTTAACAAAACTCTTTCATGTGAAACTGCTCCTTTAACCTCGCTGAGGCAGGCAGGATAGGTGTTAGCATCCCAGTGCACAGACAAAAGCACGGCGGCCCGGGGAGGTCAGACCTGCCAATCTAGGTTTCCGACTCCGGAGCCCGGGTTCACCGTCATTGTGGTAACTCATTACCTGCAACAACAACGGCTCACGGGCTCCCTGAAGTCCCCATGAGGTTGAGTAGCCATGATCCAGATAAAGGAAGGACTGTGGTATTTCCTGAGTCTCTTCTCTACATGGCAAAAAACTGCAGACATGCCAGATTTCTTTCCAATGTCGCCTATCTTCTCTTAAAATATAGGACAATCCTATAATATCTCTTTTCCTGAATGTTACAACCCATTATTAAAGCCTCAGAAGTTGGCAAAGAAAGGAAGGAAAAAAGAAAACTGAAGTCAGGTAAGTAAGTGGTTTGCTCCCAGGCTCATGATAAGAGGGATAAAAGCATGGCCAAGTCTCCAAACTCTTGAAAAGCTTATAAGCACCAAAGTGATGAACTATAACTTGAAGTGCTTAGTACCATTACAATTGCATTAGGGGGAAAGGATAGGTTAGAATAATAGTTTAAAAGTGAGGGCTTATAAAATGTTTATTTGCTGTACCATTTTCAAAAGAATGACATAGGTCTAGGAGGTAATTACTAATTAAAAGTGTTGCACTTTTCTGTCTAAAACCTCAACTGTGATTTCCTTTTAGGTATATCCTAACTTTAGGTCAAAACTGTTATTTTTCTTTAAGTGGAAGCTCAGGTTACTTCTTAACTCTTCCCTTTTGTTACAGAAGGAAAGCGTTATTAAATTTATTATAGATCTACCCATTCATATCAGAAGAATTACCATTGTTTACCAGTCCATGAACTTCCTTTCAAATTGTGCACTATGTAAGGTCATGAATCTGAGAGGTGGTGATTTCTGTGCGCTTAGTCTTGATAGCTATTGTTTCTGTTTCACCAACCATGGAACCGAACCGTCAGCTCTGACTGCTGCGCATCTGTCAGAATGCACTGTTTGGTGACGTTTTACAAGTCGATGGTGCACTTTTACTTTTCACGCACTCCCACCCCATCACTGAATGGTTACCATGTTCTCTTCCCCATCACCACCTTCCTGTCTTGAAAAGCTTTCACTCACCATGGACTCATAACTTGGGCGAATTTTAGCCTTTCTTGTTATTTTTACCCACTCTCACAGTCTAGTCAACATTAGGAGGGCCTTATTTAGTAGTTTACATTCAATTTTTATTACCATGGTTTAAAGAGGTGGCGAAACTAGATGTAGAGGCAATCAGGTTTAAAAAACCCCAGAGAAATGGACCTAAAAACAAATCCTCACTGTGTCACACTCCACGGGTGCTTTGACAATGGGTAAGGGTGGGAGAGCGTGGTCGGAAATAATGCTTGTAGCGCCTACTTTGTGCCAGGTGCTTTACACATATGTTGTTTAATACAACAACCCTACAATGTAAGTTCCTTTATCCTTACTCTTTTGGGTCTTATTTATTTATTTTTTAAAGCTTAACAAGAGACATATTCAAAATCTAAAGCTCAAAGGATTTAAATAACTTGCCCAGAGCCTCAGAGCTTTAATAACAGAGCTAGGATTTAAACTCAGGTCTAACTCACAAACTCAATAAATATTAGTTCTCCTGCCCTAGGGAAAGTACAGAAATGGCAATTTGTACCATCAAAGGGATCAAAGGTAGATTTTATGGGCAAACATTGAAGAACTTAATTGCTTAGCTTAAAAGGAAGTTTTAATTACCGTTTTTAAAATGTAGGTATTCTCTAAGGAATCTGTTGAATGATTATCTGTGTCCATAAAAAACACTTAAAAATTAAAAGTTGTATGTATTTTGTAGGATATAAGGAAGTTTTCTAGGTCAATCTCATTAATAGGGCCTATTATTTGCAAGGTACTTGTCTAGGTGCTGAGGTTCTCAAATGAATAAACTAAAATCTCAGGGTTTGATGAGAACAGGCCAGAGTATACAATATACTCAATATATGTTGGATTACTCAATAAATAGGTAGTAAGATGTGGCAATGGCCTGCAAGGAAGATGGCCACATAGATCTGAAATTCTTCAAATGAATAAGGAAAATTGCCTGAAAAAGTTGCTAGGTATTGTAAATAATCTAGAGGTGATTTAAAGTATATGGGAGGATGTGTGAGGTTATCTGCAAATACGATGTCATTTTATATAAGGAACGTACTTGAGAATCCTCGGATTTTGGTATGGGGGAGGGGCCGGGAAGGGGTGGTGTCCTGGAACCAATCCCCCAGGGAAACTGAGGATGACTGTATTCGGTATGTAAGACAGTCTTATTTGTTTACCCACCCACTCCTTACATTCCAGTCTTTTTTAACCAACTCCGGAGTCTAGGTAACTAGGTACCAAACTTCTGTTCATAGACGCTTCTTCCTCGCACGTCTTAAGCTCAGGTATGTACAACGGGTCCTAGGCCCGACCTCCGCTCGCCCTCACCTCTCCAAGGTAAACACAGAGACAGACATACTGACTCTGGGTCACAGAATGTCAGATGTTACCACGACAGATGCCAAAGACATTTGGCTCCGTGAGTGGAAATTGGGAGGCAATGGTGAAATGAGGTAAGAAATTCCAGGGCCAGAAGGTGGCCGCAGGTCATCAGCGGCTGTTCCCGGAGCCGCTCTTTGGAAAGCGCCGCAGGAACAGCCCCGCCCGGTGCTGCCCGGCTGGGTGCGGCAGACGCCCCGCCGCGGGGGTCTCGGGGCGGGACCGAGCGCGCCCCGCTCTAGTTTAGCGCCCGCGCAGGGCCGGGGAGGGGGGTTCGTCAGGATCCCCAGCAGCCAGAGCCCAGCTTTCTCACGCAGACCAGGCGGCCGGGGAGCGGCGGGTCGTGACTGCACGGTGCTGAATGGTCCACGGGGAGCCACGCTTCTCCCCGGCC